GTCTTACGTTCTCTGTAAACACCCAGCGGCTCGCCCGGATTAATATACTTTTAGCAGTCTTGTCCCAAGATTTCAATTACAGGACACTGGCGAGCACAGGGTTATCATAATTGATAGGAATGCTGGTTCTAACTATGAAAGTTAAAAGTTTGAATGCATTTATCTTCATTTAACAAGATAACAGATGTGGCTCCCTCAAAGTTTGCATTTGCACGATCATACGGCTGGAATATTCAATCATTAGGCATCAAAAGAACACTATCTAAGATATGTAACAAACTCCCACTGATAGCAACTTTGAAAGAAAAATGTTAAAAGAAAAGCCTTGGCCGACTTGGCCGAGACTTGCCCTCAAAGAGTTATGCATAAATATAGAGCTACAGAGATAATGCTGTCATTTGGTCATGTTCTACAGTCGGCGCTTTGTAGAAAATCCTGTAAATGGCTAATAAACCTCCACTGTTGAACCCTGTGAACCTTCCTTTCAGCCAAGGCATTTATAGCCTTTTAGACATCTTTTATACAATCTAATCAACATAAAATTACAGAGTTTTAGTCACATTACATAACGTGGCTCAAGCGTATCAAAATGTGAGTGATGGAATAAAGTAACAGACATGGCGAGGAGAGGAGTGCTCTAATGGACCTCTTTACGAAAAACCAAGCTAATTATTTCGGCACACGTAAGCCAACTCGGATCTCCGATCAATAGCCATTAGCCCCATCATGAGTGTCCAAATGGACTGTGTGTGTATTTGTGTGTGTGAGTGGAATATAATTGTGGTGACAATAAGGATTGATCTGAAACCGCGCCAACCACTCACCATTTCTGTTGAGCTGCCGGCCTTCACTGGGGGAGGGGGCTTGTGCTTGGGTGGGCCCCTGATTGGACAAAAGACAAAGTGGTAATGTGGTATTGATCTCTGTTTCGTTAAGACAGATTTCTTTGTATTCAACGGAGAAACAACTTGGGCCACTGAGAGATCATAGAAATATAAAGTCTTGAAATGTCCAACTGCAAAGATGTCACATGCTGTTATCGTTTAATCTAGATTATTTTCTTACAAAATTCAGCACTATGAGGAAAAAACCCTCAAACATTTTGAGTTAAAGAAAAACAAGCGCTGATGGTTAAGAAATCGATTTTAGAAAGCGTTTTTTAAAAATGCGTGCTATCGTAGATGGACTTGGAGAACCCGTTAACACGTAGGATTTGAAAATAAGATCCGCAGCTTCATTTAAGAAACCTTTAAAAGCCTCTACGAAACCACAGACACAGTAAAGCTTCTCCTAACAAGTCAAAAATAACAACAATAACCTTATCACCCAGCAGAAATAATGCAGTACCAGCATTCATTCACGTGGAGTTGTGTTTCTGGGCTCCGATATTCACCCTAGTTTCATCCAAGCATCATGCTTAGAGCTGAAAAATGAAGCCAATGCTAAACTGCCAAAAAGACAAGTTTTTGGAGTGGCCACTTGAAGCTGGTTCCAAAAGAGCATCTACCACCATAGCCTGTGATGTTAAAATGTATAATTTTACTGCAGAAATAAACATGTGGACGTGTGTGGCTAACAAACAAAAAAAGGTTTTGGTCTCTTTACCTAATTTTCTTTTATAACTTATCTTTTCTTTCTGGCTGTAGCTGCTTTGACTGACAAATGCCAATTCAATTCAATTCAATTCAATTTTATTTATATAGCGCCAAATCACAACAAAAGTCGCCTCAAGGCGCTTCATAGATACAGAGAAAAACCCA